ATATGAACCCACAAGATCCTACACAACAAATGCCACAACAACCACAATATATGAACCCACAGGATCCTACACAACAAATGCCACAACATCATCAATATATGAACCCACAGGATCCTACACAACAAATGCCACAACATCATCAATACATGAATCCACAGGAACAAATGCCACAACAACCACAATATATTAACTCACAAAATCCTCCACAACAAATGCCGCAACACATGCCACAACAACCACAATATAATCACAATATATAAACGAGAGATGGCAAAGTTAGGTTAGGGTTTGGGTTAGGTTCTAAAATATTGGGGATTTTAAATTAAATACCTAAGAACCAGGTTTTATATAGTAAATTCACACCTGGTTCTCAATGTTTTGTCTACAAGAGATAAAAAAATAAATATATGTTACCAAAAAGTTGCTTAATCTATATCAAACTTTCAAAAAATATATTTTTTGATCTTTTAAATAACTTAACATGCTAATATTGATTTAATAAAATTTTGAGTGAATGAATGAAAATATATGATACAACTAGGCATTGGACCCGAATCATATGGAACAGCCAAAAATTTATATTGTCGTTATAGATAGATATTAATAGAAATATAGGCAAGTCGAATTGTAACGGCCTGTCTTATTTGTAACTATATATTGCATGTAATGATGCGAATAGACAATCAATCGATTGCGCCATCAAAATATTAGGTTGATTGCAAATCGATCATCAACTAATCGATCGCTTTAAACCAAAAGATTGGATATTTAAAAATTATATTGCTAGTCAAAAGTTATATTTAAAGATTATATCATCAGTTAGAAATTATGTTGTTAAAAAGTTGTATTTAGAAAGTATTTGCTTTAATTTCTTAAGGATTAGATCTACAAAGAAAATTGTATTGTCAGAAATTCTTCAGAGAGTATATATATTGTAGAAACTGTTTTGTTGGAATTCTTCATCTATAGATTATAATGTAAAAATATGATATTCAGAAACATTTTGTCTTAATTTAATAAAAATTAATTAAAAAAAAAATTTATTTAGTATTGTTAAATTAGTTGAAATAATCCAAAAGCAGTTATCTAAAAAGTAAAGTATAAATTATAAAAAAAATATCAAGTATAAAACTAATTTATTTTAAATCTAGTCTAAAATAACTTGAATAACTTGAAGTATCTAAAAGTTTAAGAAAAATAATTTAATTCAAAAGCATTTTAAGAATTTTTAAATATTTTTTTTTATTGTTTTTGTTTTAATTATTATTTTAAGAACCTTTTATGTTAAGGGGTGTGACGACCTAGTGAAGTGGTCAGGTTGTCAACCCCCAAGTGGCAGGTTTAGAATTCAAATTTTATAGATGATAAATTTTGGAAAATAAGATCTGTGTTATGGTAACTGTCTCTGTCGATTGGTTGGATTAGTATATCTGTAACCTTTATTGCACCATCTTGAATGGAAGCTTGGAACATTTATGCAAAGTGTAACATTACACCTACATAGAGGAATGTTAATAACCGGTGCTGTATAAGACTTCGGTACAAACCCACAATAAGACCACTAGGTGCAGAAAGCAAAGAAACCAAAGAGTCAGAAACCCACTCAAAAATCTCAAATAAAGAGGTAGCATGGACTTTTGATGGTATTACCAAACCATCAGAAGGCCTCAAAAAAGGATTACTAGGACCTCAGATGGATCAAACGACAACATGTGTAGAGGAGCACATACCAACCAGGCTACTGGGTTCATCATAGGTTATCTGGATTGGTAGTTTGTGAAGTCTTGTAAGTCTTGTAGGTTCAGAAGTAGAAGATGGAAGTTAGGAAAAGAAGGTATCAGGATCCTTGTGAACTTTATAAGGGTATAGTAGTTTAATGGTTAGTCTTGACTGCAAGTGATGGTCTAGGCCAGAGCAGTACTAAGTCAGCTATAAGTATGAGATACAGAAGGCTCTAATGAACTTAGTATAAAGTTAAATATGACTTAGTGACCATAGTATATTTGTAGCAATGGCTGTAGTTGATAGAATAAGGATGGATACAGGAACTAGAGTGTTTAAATAGAGAACCCACAGGTGGGTTCTAGATATAGCAACTAGTATAGAACCTTTGAATAGACTATTTAAAATAGACAATAACTAAAGTTGTATGAGTGACTAGTTGTACACTTTTTCTATAATTGCCTCTGTAGCTGTTGTACACAATATACTGACTGATTATCAATAAACTCCTGGGTTACAATTACTCATCTTAATGTTAAAAAAAAAAAAAGAACCTTTTATGTTGTTTTTGTTTTTTTAAAAAAAAAACTTTTAGTTTTTTGTTTTTAAAAAAAAATTTTAGTAAAAAAAAATAATTTTTTATTTATTTATATAATATCATACTAGAAACTTTAAGATATAATTACAGAAAATAATTCTTAAAATAAAATTTTCTAATCTATATTTGTGTTGCTAAAAAAGACACCCAATGTAATATTACACTCTTTATTTTCTAATAAGTGCTATAAATAATTGTTTCAAATTATTTTCTAGTGAGGATAGATTAGAGTAAACCTTAAAAATTTAAATCATAAATGTAAAAGTTTAAAAAAAACATAATAAAAAAATAAATAAATCTAAACTATAAATATAAAAGTTTAAGAAAAAAAAATAATAAAACTAAAAATAAAAAAAAAGTTAAAAAAAATATAAAAAAAATTTTATAAATTTAAAATATATTTTTTTTTTGCTTTTACTAAGGTTGTTTGTTATTAGTAACTACTGTTTTTTTTGGATACATATTATTTCATCGATAATCAATTTGCCAACATTCTATTTCACTGACAATCAATTTGCTGACAAGTTTATTTTACTATCAACTATTTTACCAACAGCCTATTTCACCAACTAGGTTTTTTAAAAGTTGCACTAACTTTGACTCTAATTCCAACTAACTCTAATGAAAATAATCAGAATTACTTTGTTGATAAAATGACTGTTAGTAAAATAACTGTCAATGAAATAAACTTGTCAATGAATTGACTGTCGATAAAATAGGCTGTTATTAAAGTAATTGTTGGCAAAATGAGCACTATCTGCTTTTATTATATTTTAATTATAATTCTATAACTTATACAAAATGAGTATACAATTAGCCACATATGCAACTTTTAGTTACTTATTTAAGTAGTCTGCTTGCAGATTTTACATTAGCTATTATATTTGTAATTTGTTAAAAGATTACTTAATTAACCATTTTAATCTTTATATTATATTTAACAAATAGTATACAAATTTCTGTATATGGAGTGTAGTGACCTAGTAAAGTGAATAGGTTGTCAACTCTCAAATAGCAGGTCTAAGATACAATTCCTATAGTTAATGAATTTTGAAAATTATATCTGTATTATAGTAACTGTCTCTTGCTGATCAGTTGAGTTTTGGGCATCTGTAATCTTAAGTATACTAAGTCAGATTCTATCTAATATTGAAAGCTTGAGGCATCTATATGAAGCATAATATTATACATATATAAAGAAATATGAAAAAATAGTGTCATATAAGGCTTTAGTACAAACCTGTAATAAGACCATTGGGCATAGAAGACTAAAAAACCAAAAAGACAGAAACTCACTTGAAAATCCTAAGTAAAGAGATAATACAAACTTTTGATGATGCAATTGAACTAATAAAAGTCTATAAAACATCTTTATAGGAACAATTAGATAAATTAAATAATAAGATGTGTAGAAGAGCATATGACCAATCAGGCTGTTAGAATCACTAAAGTAAAAAGATACATAAGTATATTGTACTAGACTATCTGGATTGGAAGTCTAAGAAGTTAGTTGGTTCTAAGTTGCAGCTAGTAAAGAATAATAATAAAGAAGTTAGAAAGATAAGTACTAGAGTTTGAGTAAACTTTATAAGAATAATAGCAGTTTAATAGATAACTCTAATTGCAAGTATTGGTCTCAGCCATAGCATCAAACTAGGTTAGCAGTAAAAAAAAATATGACTTATTTTGGTAGATTTGTTTCAAAAATAAAAATAGTCTAAGAATTATAGTTATATAGTTAAAAGCAAATAGATCTGGATCTGTAACTTGGTAAAATTAATACTAGGATCAAATCAAAGGGTTTAAATAGAACATCTAAGCAGAAGTGTTAGATATAGCAACTAATGAAAAAACCTCAAATAGATTCCTTAAATAGGTAATATAAAAAAGTTACATATGTAGTCAGTTATACCTTATCTGATAGTTCAATATAAATAAATCTGTATAAAATATATACTTAATATAAATATTAATAAAAAGCTAGGATCAAAGAGGTTACTTTAATGTCAAAAAAAAAAAATTTCTGTATATTTAAGTACTATATAATTTAATATTAATTTTTCTTTTTATATATTTATCAAATTATTATATATATCACCTAACTGTAAGGCTTTAAAGGTTTTTTTATTAATTAGTTTGCCCACTTTTTATAAAATATTAATAAAGTTTACTCTTATAAAGTTTATCCAGATTCTAGTACTAACTTTATAGTATATTTTTAATATTTATAGTATATTTTTGCTTTGTTATCTGACTTCTAATTCAGCTAGTTTAGTGGAACTATAACATGTTTTTAGTAGTAATTTAAACTAATTGGGCTATAATTAAAGATCTAATCTGATAAATAATATATTCAAATATTCATTAAATATTTAAATATTCAAATAAATAAATTTTACTAAATTAAATATTCAAATATTTAATTTATTTATCAAATAATTCATTAAATATTTAGTAAATATTTATAATTAGAAATTATTTAATTAATCAATTAAAATACAAAATTAAATATAATAGTTTTAATATATTTGTTTTATTTGTATTATATTAGTTTATAAGTATAATATTAATTTATTTATAAATTTTTATTAATTTATTTAACTTATTTTTATTTTAAATTAACTAAATTATTGTTTAAAGTATAATAAGAATATTTATACTTTTACTCTATTTTATATAATATTTGTTAAAAATAACTAATTAAAATTTTTATTTAATTATATTATATATCTTTATATATTTACAAAATAAATAATTTATTTGCCAAATAAATCAACTATATAATAAAAAATTAGTTGCTCTAATCAGTTATATTAACTAATTACTTTAAATATTTATTAACTTTTGATATATATATATATATATATTTATTTTTATTTTTTTTTTAAGCAGTTACGCTAGTGCTTTATTAAGATTTTTGAAACTACTACTGTAATTACA